CACTTGCAGGCTCGCTTCATCGTGGCTTTCACCGCCTTGGTAGAAAGGTGGAGAAAGGAGCAGCTGAGCATCATCATTTAAATCTCAAAATCAGATTCTACAGCGCTTCTAATTCGGGGGCAATGGGTCAAAAGTGGGTCGTGCTCAGCATGGCTTCAGGTCCTTACAATACGCAAGCTGATTTTGGTTCCTGGAAAGCATCTGTGCCTCTTCGCTAATTTAAAGGACAGTGATAACAAGTGGGGACAAGCTCCTGTCTCCAAGCCTTGCAGGAGCTGTTTTTCTGGGCCAGGAAAAAAGCCCCTTTGCTGGGTCATGCCCTTCTCACGCCGCTCACCTCGCTCATCGCAGAATCGACCCATCATCCCTCTCGGAGGTTTCATTCAAAACGTGTGAAACTGCTTTGGAATAATCATACCCAACCTTTCTGCATCTCCTCCAGGCCAAGCACTTCACAGATATTATCTACCTATCTCCCTCTGGTATTTATAAGGTCCCAATCACTGGTATCTGTGTGAGATTAAGCCTCGACACACCCTATGAGATAGGTATGTTAAGCGTTGCCGTCCTTGTTTTTACAGACAAGGAGGTTTGGCAAGATGCTGAGAGCCTCGGCCCAGGCGGGGAGTGGGGGCTGAGTCTGGCAGCTGGCTGGAGAGCAGGGCCAGCTCACACCTGGCTTCCCAAATAGCTTGGAAATGCATATTGCAAGAAACTACGGTGGTTCTTGCTTTGTTTTACAGAGCAGACAAGTGAGTCTAAACCCCATGTGTTTCTGAATAGGTGGTGGGTGCTAGCAGTTAGGTGCATTGCACGCAGCTGCGGAAGCTGGAAGCGGGAACAGCTCTGACAGCAGTTCGGGTCTAGGGTTGGATTCTGGCTGTGTGGTTTTCCCCATGCAAACACCACAGGGTTTAGATTGTCACAGAGGGCTGGAGACGGGAACCTGAACAGCCTACCGGACTCTCAGATTTTGTTTTTGATATAAACGTCATTATTA